ATTGAAGCCACTAAGATTTAATAAAGATAAAATCAAAGACTCAGATCTGCTCAAAATCAGACCTCTTTAAACTCAGATTAAACATCATATTTTTAACCAAAGAAAATAATCATATCAAACCACAAAAACTATGAAATCCACGAAAAGAATGGAGGTGAAAAACTCACAAATAAGAATGAAGAGGATGAGGCGATGGCGATGGCGACAGCAACAACGACAACAACGGTGATGAAAGAATATGGCGGAAATGATAGAAGCAATGGAAAAACGCCAACAAATGTAGGAGAATGAAGAAAATCGAGTGAGGATGGTATGGGGGACTATGAGCTCTGACTCTAAAAAGTGAAAACTATCGCGCGATGGATTTTAAAAGGGAAAATTACTGTAGAGTCCCACAGAAGAGAATTTACTACCAGAAGGTCCCATGAAATCCCCAAATTCCTCCTAAGTCCCCAGGGACCTCTGGGTAAATAATTTGAGTTGTGATATTACGTACTTGCCCTCAGTCATTGATAAAGGAAAGAAAAGAGGGAGAGACGCTGATTGGCTTCATTTAGTGCGGTTGTTTGTTATGCATGCAGAAGGAAGAGAAGCTTCTGAAAGAAAGAAGGGAGTTATGCGCTGGTACTCCATCGCAGGCAAGCGACATTATTTCTTCATCTTCTTGGTACGTCTCATCATTAACAACATTTCTCTTCTTCTGTACACAACCAGTGTCAAGTTTAATGTTGGTCTGAAAAGTTGATTGGGTGTTGATATGTGGGTATTAAAGATGTGATTCAACTCACTAGAAATATCAAGGGAGGCTCATTTTAGTCATATGTGGTTTTAATCATGTTAGGTGTGGTTTTACTATGTGTGGCTAGGGTTAGAAAGCAATGCTCTATTTTTCGGTGAATGAGGCTCTGTTTTTCGGTCACTGATGCTATGTTGCTGATGAAGAAGAGTGGAAAATAACATATATTTATTATTGTAACCCCTCAAATGCGATGGTTAAATGTGTTGTTAATGGGTACATCGAAGGTTGTTAACGGGTACATCGAAGGTTGTTAACATAACTGTATGACTTGTTATTAACAACCAGTCGCAGCTTTAATGCTGGTCTGAAAAGTTGATTGGGTGTTGATACGTGGGTATTAAGCATGTGATTCAACTCTCTAGAAATATCAAGGGAGGCTCATTTTAGTCATATGTGGTTTTAATCATGTTAGATGTGTGGTTTTACTATGTGTGGCTATGGTTAGAAAGCAATGCTCTGTTTTTCGGTGAATGATGCTCTGTTTTTCGGTCAATGATGCTGTGTTGCTGATGGAAATGAGTGGAAAATAACAGATATTTATTATTGTAACCCCTCAAATGCGATGGTTAAATGTGTTGTTAATGGATACATCGAAGGTTGTTAACATAACTGTATGACTTGTTATTAACAAGTGATTGTGGCAGGTTGATATCAAGGATGGCAACTTCTAGTGCAAAGCAATTGTTTTGCTACCTCCATATAGGAGGACAATTTATTAATGGTGTAGAAGGTGAAACGCAGTATGTTGGAGGTGGTGTGAAAACAAGAATGATAAAGGAAGGGACATCATATGGAGAATTTAGAACAATGGTGGCATCAATTGTGGGAAAAGAAAGTAATGGAATGGTTATGAAATTCACAGTAACCTTTGATGAGTGTACATTTGTGGACCTTGTAGATGATGAAGGAGTAGAACATTTGATTAACTTCAATGGCGACAGTGGTCATGTATATATAGGAGAAAATGGAGATCAAAATTCACAACTAACAAGGGATGTTGTAATAGAAGAGCAACATGTGTAAGTTGTGTTATTTAAATTTCGAAGTAATATTAGCTATTGTCAACTGTTGTGCATAAGTTGTTATTATAGTGATCGAAGGTTGTCATTAACGACCCCTTGACCTGTTCTGTTATGTAGGATGGAAGACTTGTTCGGAGGTTCAGATACATTGTCCATGTCTCCACCTAATGTGGTTAGTGAAGACCCACTATTGTTGCCATGTGGTTCAGAAATGATGCCAACCCCAATTCCGGAAATGAATTCAACAAAGTGGAAGGGTTTGGTTATCGGAGAAGGACAGATTTTTCCTAATGCAGTGGCTCTTAGGCAAGCACTGTATAGGTACAGTATTGCTGTGAAGTTTTCATACAAGTTTGTGAAGAACAATCAACAAAAGATCATTGTGAAGTGTATGGCGGAGGGATGCCCGTGGTATATGGGTGCATACTCAATGGGACAAAGACAAGATTCTGAGTTGTTAATAATTAGAACCTTAAGAAGTGAGCATGTGCATTATGCACAGGACAGCTTGGTTGTATCTCACTCTAGAGGGTCAAACTTAACATCATCAATCATGATAGATTCTTTGAGGTGTAATATAGACAAGAATGCTAATGAAATTAGAAGAGATCTGTATAGAGAATATGGGGTGCGACTGAATTATAGTCAAGCATACAGGGGTAGAGAAAGAGCATTGAGGGAAATACATGGTCGTGCACAGGATTCATACATGGCGATTCCCTGGATTTGTGAAAGGCTCATTGAAACTGATCCAAACACAAGTGCTCGATGGGAAGGGTTGGATAGTAACAGATTTCAGAGGGTGTTCATTGCTTATGGATGCTCAATTAATGGATTTTTAGAAGGGTGTCGACATATACTTTATATAGACGGCTGTCATCTAAGTGGTCCTTACAGGGGGACATTGATTTCAGCTAATGCATATGATGCGGACAATGAACTATTTCCATTAGCATATGCTATAGTTAGTGGGGAGACATATGATGATTGGGCTTGGTTTCTCCAGAATGTCAAAGACATCACAAGATCAGTGGAGACAACGATAGTTTCAGATCGGAATAATGCCATTATAGGTGCTATGCGAACAATATTTGGTGGCGAGAGACATGCTTTTTGTTATAGGCATGTGAAAGAAAATTTTAGTGCACATTATTTAAAAATTAACCGAGGCAGGGGACGAGTTTCAGGTACTTCAAAGGATGTTGCATTGAAAATGCTGGATGGAATCGCCTATGCAAGGATTGAGGATGAATATGTTGCTGCAATGGGGAAACTTAGATCATTCTGTCCACAATTAGCTGATTGGGTTGACACTCAAGGAGATGTAGATCGGTGGGCTTTAAGCAAATTCCCGTTTAAACGATGGGATAACATCACCACTAATGTTGCGGAGTCGTTTAATGCCTGGATTTTGAAGGAGAGGAAGCACAATGTGTCAGTTCTCATACATGAGCATATGGAGAAATTAGCCAAGAAGATGGTTGCAAGCAAAATGGCAATGGAAAATTGGACAAATGGCGTTGGGCCAAATATTGAGTCCAAGTTGCAAGAAAAAGTAGCAAGAGCGGAGAATATGCATACTGTATATTATGGAGATAACCGAGTTCAAGTTGATACTACATCTCCTACTGGAATAATTTGTGTCACTGTTGATCTCACAGCTCAGAAATGCACTTGTTTAGCATGGCAAATGAGCGGAGTACCTTGTGCTCATGCCTGTGCAGCGATAAAGCTACTTCATGGTAGTGTTTATGAATTTGTAGATGATTGCTATAAGCTGTCAGCCCAAGAGAAGATATATGCAAGTAGTATGAGGCCAATTGCGACACATGATTGTCCTCGTCCCGAAGCTCTCACCGTTACGCAGATGATGACGGGAACATTTTTACAGCCACCAATCACTAAAAGACCCTCAGGGAGGCCAAAGAAAAGAAGGATTGAATCTCAATTTCAAAGTAAAAAACTTTACCACTGTGGAAGATGCCATGAGCCAGGCCACACTGTGAAGACTTGCCAGAACCCCAATCCAAGTTGAGCTTTGCTGGTGGCTTGTTGATATTTCGTTTTGTGAATGCTTGTGACAGCATTTTTTTTGTAAATGTCATAACCTACACCTCAAGTTGTCCGTCATTATCCACACATGCAACACGTATGCTTTTTTGAATAGGTTGTAAATTTGGTGTAGTTATGTTGTACATATATATATCAAGTGGTAAATGACACCTGGTTGTAATCTGATATAACATCATTTCTGTATTTTTGATGTACTGGTGAATAGGTTGTAATGGACTTGTTATCAGACGCCATGCAGGTTGTCATTAGCAGTCTCAATTATGTTACTGATATAAAGTGACAATTTCTCCTACTTCCAGTGTTCAGTGATTTCTTAAGACATTCGAGCTGTGTTAAAGTCATAATATGATATGATTTGGTTAGAATTAGATCTCATGTGGAGGTTGTGGTATCCCCAGCGTCAGTTGTCAGGGGCAATGTGAAGGTTGTTAACCAATTCTGTTCGGGTTGTCAACAATCCCTGTTGAGGTTGTAAATGAATTGCTGCAATAAAAATCTGCTGTAATATGATTTGGTTCTTTTAAAGCTGTTAATGACTTTAAAATGCTCCCAATTTTTGCTATTAAGGTCGTTATATGTGCTCATAATATAATTAAGTTAACAGCTGTGTTATACCCCGAGTGAGTTTTAACCACTGCCAATGTTGTTAATCATTTCTGTTACGGTTGTGAACAACCCCTGTTGAGGTTGTAAACAGATGTGGCAGAGAGGACTCTGATATATGCCTATCATGTCACCATGGTTACCATTTGTTTATCCAGTCTTATTCAGTCTGCATTTGTGGCCATGATGAAAACACATGAATGCCTTTACAAAAACTTGATAACCAGTAAAGGATATCAAAACACATTACATATCTTAACATCCAGGATTCATACATGCTCAAAGAAAAGAATAAAATGTGAACTTGACGTTCAGATGTCACTATGCTGTCAAATAAATAAATGTAAATACAACATATGCTTGTCATTTATTTCTTCCTCTTGCTTTGGGGGTTTCCTCGCAGCAAAGACAGCACTTCATCGCCATGCAGGTTGTTCCGATGAGTCACGAGCCACCACAAGCATCCAACCTTCAAGTCATGGGTTTCTTCAGGGGAGTACTTAGGCATTGTGTAGCCGTCATCACCATACTCAGTGCCGTCCCATGTTTGTAACCAGCTCAACACATGAACCCCACAAGAGTCCCTACAAAGGAAAAACAAGTACTTTAGTGAATGAACATTAGCTCCCAAAAGTTGAGACACAAGTACTTGTTGTGCTGAAAAATAACTCACGTGTCAGATTGCACATGAACTTTTGCCCATGTGACTTCCTCGTCAATCTTGTCCTCCTCCGCAAACAGTGATGGCTTCAGCACACGAAGCACTTGGCAGAAACAATCTCTCTGCAAAAAAGGGACAAACAGAAGAAACAAGTTTGACAGTTGTGAATGACAAGTTATCAGGAAGCATTAACAACCTTCGCTGTAGCCAATGACAAGTAATCAGCAGGCATTAACAACCAGGACAGTTAAGCAGACAAGCAACCATAACGCATTAACAAGTTATAGAATGAATGTAAAGTTGTGCATACAATCCCTCTCGCCATGAATTGCTTAGGATCTATCTGTCCTCTCTTTTCCCTTGCTTCCTTTGTGGTTTCTTCCCTGTTTTCATTGCTTCTTCTTCCTCTCTTTGTAATCTCAACATCGTCAAATTGTCCACCAACGAGTCAAGGGCATAGAAACGCATGGTTCTTACATCCATCACGTAACAGAACCAATGGTAATTGAAAAGGGTGGGGCCAAATATGAAGTCACAGTCTCCAATGTTATATCCTATGTGCTCCGGTAAGATTTCATGTTCATGTTTTTCCAGGCTCCACCTAAGAGGATTAGCGGCCATTGTTTGCATTAACTCGGGTGAAAAAATGTGCCTACTGACACGACCGTGGTTCTCTTTTTCATCTCCCACCAAGGTTCTCGCCACCATAGACATGAACTATATCACACATACAAACAGTTAGTCATGATCATAATGACATTCGCAGTTCTCTATCTATATAAACAACTGTCTTACCCTGTCGTTCATCCATTTCCTGTCTTGTAGGCAGCAAAGCTCAGCACGTGTCAAGAAGTACCCATACATCTCTACAATGTACCTGCAGCAAAAGGAACAATGAGCACAAGGGTTGTATGTGTAAAATTGTTGTCAGTCAGTTGTCCCAATTACAATCAGTCCCAACACTTACTTGGCACCTTCATCTTGATCACATCTTCTCGTGCACATTTGGAATAATTCCTCTTTCTCGTCAGCTTTTCTCTTGCCACGGCCTTTTTTCACCTCCTCTAACCAGGGAGATTTGATTGCACGGCTTCTCACCCGTGTTGATCTTCTTACATCCATTTGCCCTTGTGCTTGCTGGTCCATTTCATCCTTTCCCTCCATTTCATCGCCTACACCCTTATCCTCTTCTGCTGCTGCATCACTAGACTTGTCTTGTGTTTTTTCTTCTCCATCATCCTCTGATCCAGAGTGACTCCCTTCTCCTTTCTCCTCAGGTTGAGATTGACTCTCTTCTTCACGCGAAGCACTTTTGCCCTCTTCTTTATCATCTCCTTCTGGTTCACTCTGTTGTTCCTCTTGTGACAGAATTGAATCTTTTGGGCTTCCTTTACCTTCTTCACCGGTTTCTTCATCTTCAGTTGCCTTCTCTTTGTCATCTTCGCTACTTACTGCTTCCACCACATCTTCCTTGTCAATCTCATCCGTCAACCTCAACTGCAGGGAAACCAACTCTTCTCCAATTGTCGACACCAACCCTTCAACCATGGTCATCAACCTTTCATACGTTCTCTTGATTTCCTGCAAAACAACAGTAATGAAAGTTATCATTACTCCAAATTCTACACAGCACCAAAATAAGCTTCACATGATTTACTTACAGGGTGGGTTAGCTTTATTCCTGTGTTGGATGCACTTGTTGAAGCCCCACCGACACTCGGAACGCCATGCAGTATGCCTCTGTCGCTATTCTTTTCTGATTTCACTCTTGCCTTCACTTTTTCCTCATCCCAATAAGTAATGGCATTTTCATTTTTTGCCGCCTTTTCTTTTCCGAGAGGAAAGTGTTGTAGGCAATAAATCTGCATGTGAAGTTAATGATAACTTAGATATACAACAACAACAACATCCAAACAGGCCACTGACAACATAAACAGCGGAAAATCACAACCTACACACTGCCCAATAACAACGTACACAGTGACCAATCACCACCTACACATAAGCGTATCACAACCTACATTTGCGCTATTCACATTCACAACATGTACAGCAGCCAGTGACAACCCATACTCAACCGAATGACAACACGAACAGACTGCAATTACAACCTATACATAACCAGGTGACAAACCAACACATCCTAATGACAACCTGCACACAGGACAATAACAACCTCCACACCAGCCAGTCACAACATATACATAACCAGTTCACAGCGTACATTTTCCCAACTGACGACATAGAGTAGTAAATAACAACATACACAGTGACCAATCACAACCTACACATAAGCCTGTCACAACATACATTTGCGCCATTCACAACATGTACAGCATCCAGTGACAACCCATACTCAACCAGAATGACAACACGAACAGACTGCAATTACAACCTATACATAACCAGGTGACAAACCAACACATCCTAATGACAACCTGCACACAGGACAATAACAACCTCCACACTAGCCAGTCACAACATATACATAACCAGTTCACAGCGTACATTTCTCCAACTGACGACATAGAGTAGTAAATAACAACATACACAGTGTCCAATCACAACCTACACATAAGCCTGTCACAACATACATTTGCGCCATTCACAACATGTACAGCAGCCAGTGACAACCCATACTCACCAGAATGACAACACGAACAGACTGCAATTACAACCTATACATAACCAGGTGACAAACCAACACAGCCCAATGACAACCTGCACACAGGACAATAACAACCTCCACACCATCCACTCACAACATATACATAACCAGTTCACAGCGTACATTTCCCCAACTGACGACATAGAGTAGTAAATAACAACATACACAGTGTCCAATCACAACCTACACATAAGCCTGTCACAACATACATTTGCGCCATTCACAACATGTACAGCATCCAGTGACAACCCATACTCAACAGAATGACAACACGAACAGACTGCAATTACAACCTATACATAACCAGGTGACAAACCACACATCCTAATGACAACCTCCACACGACATAGAGTAGTAAATAACAACATACACAGTGACCAATCACACACCTACACATAAGCTATCACAACCTACATTTGCGCTATTCACAACATGTACAGCAGCCAGTGACAACCCATACTCACCCGAATGACAACACGAACAAACTGCAATTACAACCTATACATAACCAGGTGACAAACCAACACAGCCCAATGACAACCTGCACACAAGTCAATAACAACCTCCACACCATCCACTCACAACATATACATAACCAGTTCACAGCGTACATTTCCCCAACTGACGACATAGAGTAGTAAATAACAACATACACACTGTCCAATCACAACCTACACATAAGCCTGTCACAACATACATTTGCGCCATTCACAACATGTACAGCATCCAGTGACAACCCATACTCACCCGAATGACAACACGAACAGACTGCAATTACAACCTATACATAACCAGGTGACAAACCAACACAGGCCATTGACCTGAGTAGCAGCCACTAACAACCCATGCTAAACCAAATGACAACATGCACACCATACAGTCACAACCTACACATCAGCTAATCACAACCTACATTTGTGTCATTCACAACATGCACAGCAGCCAATGACAACCCACGATAAACCGAATGACAACACGAACAGAAGGCAATTACAACCTATACATAACCAGGTGACAAACCAACACAGTCCATTAACAACCTGCACACAGTACAATAACAACCTTGACACCAGCAAATCACAACCTATACATAAGCAGTTGACAGCGTACATTTCTCCAATTGACAACAGAGTAGTAAATAACAACATACAGAGCAACCAATCACAACCTACACAGCACATTGACAATAAACTAACATCAAAGTAAATGAATCATACCCACACTTACCATTAAGAAGTACATGCAACCTCCCACATTTTTCGTCCCATCAGCTTTTCCTTTCTTCTTTCCTTTCTTGAACTCTGCAATTGAGTTGCAGAATTCTTTCAAAACTAAGCTGCTCCAATCATAGTGTCCTAAACTATCCTTTGTCACCACCATGACTTTCAACACTTTATCACTCACCCATACACTAGAGCCAGGACACAAGAGGACTCCTAGTGCATACATAACAAAAAGGAATTCAAACTTTTCTTTCTCTTTTCCTTCAATCAACCATGTTCCTATTGTTTTGTATGGCACTTTCCCATAGTCACTCCTTAATTTCTTGAACGTTTCATCTTCATTCTCCACATTTATTTTAATATCTTCCCCCTTAAATGGTAGACCCATCAATTCATTTACATCTTCGGGCCCCACTAAATGCGTCTTCCCTCGAATTGAAATTTGCCTACTTACAGGGTCAAACACACGGATCAATTCACCACAAAAATCTCTATAGATCTGTGAGCAGCATATGTCAACCAATTTATCAAAACCAATTCTTTTCAGTCTTTCCATCTTATCTTTACTTTTCTTTAATTGCTTGCAGACTTCCATAAATTGTCCCGGAGCACAGCGTGTGTGAAAGGGAACATATAATTCTTCCCTTTTGGTGGGACTCTCATTTCTTTAGCCCTTTCACCATATTGTTCTTTCTCCTCTTCTGTTAAGTTCCCCCAAGCCTTTTTCACAGAGTTAGTGCCCTCTTCAAAAGACTTAAACTTCTTCTTGTTCTGCTCATAAAACTCTTCAGTGAATAATATGTATCCGGAGAAATTCCTAGCCCTTTGTCCATCTTTGCTCTTACTCTTTTTAGTCATTTTGTTCGACTGCAAAAAGAAAAAAAAAATACTGTCATCAACATATATTTTAAAATAGTAAGTATCTTCAACACCACCAAATTATTCACTAATCAACAAAATCAAAATATATCCCTTTGGATGACAGAAAGCAATGAACGGCAGTAAATAATATGGATCACAAATCAATCCACCAGAATGAATTTCCCTTCATTGGTTATAGTATAGAGGCAATAGGTGCTATATCCAACAAGCAATTCCCTTTCTGACCTTATGGCCAAATTAACATTCCACCATGGAGCCCACCATAAAAAGCCAAACAAAACCTTTATTATTTTATTGCCGAACAAATCAATTACATAAAGTTCTCCCTTTTAATTCAGCAATATTAACAATAACTGATTGCTGCATTTAAAAAGCTCTACCAAATCAAATTTTTGACAATTTTAACCAGTGTTCTTCAAACTGATCTCTAATATAACTTAGTACCAACCAGCCCCAACTTTTGCCCCTAACTTTGATTCGCATGTCAGATCATTGTAATATCAACATACTTCACATTTCTAATATCAGAGTGAAAATACAAGTCACGGTTATCACTGGTTCCATATATAAACACACGAAACAACCGAACATTCCAAACCACTTCAGGTCATCGAGCAGCTTTTACGAACAATCAACAATTCAAATGTTCAAACATTCCAAACCAAACATTTTTCAAAATATAACCAAGAAGCTTGAAATTGTCAAATATTCTAACTGAGAGAGACTACTTGTCTGGAGATTGAGGCGTTAGTAGAGAGACCACCGGACTGTACCAGAGAGTTCACGGCGTCAGAGCAGACGGCAACCGAGTGCGGACCAGAGAGGGATGGAGTGTTGAGTAGAGTCGGCCGGACCGTGCTGGAGATTGAAACCGTTCAATGCGTCGGAGCAGAGGGCAACGAAGGGCGGACGACAGACCGACGGACTGCGGACAAGAGACCGACGGCGTGCAGACCAGAGACCGATGGACCGCGCAGGGGATTGAAGGCGTCGGACTAGAGAGTGACCGAATACGGAGCAGCGACCGACAATGTACCAACCAGAAACTAACAGACCTCGCCGGAGATTGAAGCTGTCAGAGCACACAAGGATAAAGCACCAATGACACAGCGGCGGAGTGTGAGCGGGCGACGGAGTGTGAGCGGGCGGCCGATTTCGCGAAGATGAAAACCGAAACAATTTTGAGTGTGCTTCGATTACTTTCTCTAATCAAAAGGGCAAGAAAGTAATTG